ATAAAATGTTTTAAAAAAAAATCAGTAAGATGAGAAGTTGGTTCTTTGAAAGATTAACAAAATTTATAACTCACTGGCAAATTTAACAAAGGTAAACAATGAGAAAATTCCATGAATTGGAAATGAAATGGATGATATAACAACAGAAATAATGAGATAAAAAATATGATCACAGTATTATGAAAAATTGTATTCCAAGAAATATTTAAATCTAAATGAATAACTAGAAATTCATTACCTAAATTACAACAGAATTATGTGGATATTCTCACAAGCCTATAATATGAGACAAAATAAATCTACTTTAAAAACTCACAGCATCAAAAAAAAAAAAAACTCACAGCATCAAAATGTCTAGGTCCAGATAGTTTCACTGGGGAATTCTAACAGAATACTAGAGAAAACATAATACTAATTTTATGCAAACTATTCCACAATATACAAATGGACAATTTATAACCAAACTCATTTTATGAAGCAACTATAATTCTGATACCTAAACCAGTAAAAAACATCACCAGAATTGAAAATTACAAACTACTATCACTGATGTCTATAGAGACCTAGAACTTCAATAAAATACAAGGCAACAGAATTCAATTAAGCATCAAAAAAACAATAACATCATGACTAAGTGAGATTCACACCAAATATGCAAAGATGGTTTAATATTAGAAAAACCATCAATGTAATTCATCACATAAAATAAAGGGGAAGACCCATGATTATATCAATTTAAGAAAAATCATTTGATAAAATTCAAAATCCATTCCTAATTAAAACAAAACACCCCGCAAAATTGGCATAGAAGGTAACTCTCTCCATGTAAATAAAAGCCATATACGCAAAATCAGTAGCCAGCATTTAATGGAGAAAATGAAGTCATTGTCTCTAAGAATGGGAAATAGACAAGGTTGCCCTTTATCAAACTTTTATTTCATGTAGTTCTGGAAGTTTTGGCTAGAGCCATGAGATCATAAAGAAATTAAAAGTATCGGCAAAGGCACAGAAGAAATAAAAATCTCTCACGAGGGAGGGGTTTTGGGAGAGAGGAGAAAAATGAGGAGCTGATACCAAGGGCTCAAGTAGAAAGGAAATGTTTTGAGAACGATGATGGCAACAAATGTACAAATGTGCTTGACACAATGGATGCATGTATGGATTGTGATGAGTTGTACAAGCCCCCAATAAAATGATTTTTTTAATGAAAGAAAAATCTCTATTTGCAGATGACATATTCCTATATAGAGAAAACCTCAAAGATTGAATTAAACAATTGCTCAAACTAATTTAAAATTTTGGCAGTGTAGCAGGCTCTAAGATCAACATACAGAAATAAGTTGGATTCTTGTATATTGAGGATGATGATACCGAAAAAGATATGAAAAGACCATTACCATTGACATCAACTACATAAAATTTAAAATATTTAGGAATAAATCTTACCAAAGAAACAAAAGACTTATACAAATAAAACTAAAAATATTCTTTCAAGAAATCGAAAAAAACGTACACAAATGGCGAGGTTCCTGGATAGACAAGACTAAATATTATGAAAATGCCCGCATTACCAAAATTACTCTACAAATTCAACACAATTCTGATCCAATCCCACCTCAATTTTTAAAAGAAATGAAAAGCCTAATTACTAACTTTATGTGGAAAGGAAACAAACTTAGGATACATAAAACACTATTAAAAAAGAGAAACAAAGTCGGAGGCCTTTCCCTCCCAGACCTTAAAACCTACCATTAAAAAAAAAACTAGTATAGACATGAAGACCAATGGTTTAGAACTGAGAACCCTGAAATACAATCAATACCCAGACACCCTAATTTTGATAAAGAATTGAAACACATTAAATGGGCAAGAGATAGCCTCTTCAACAAATGGTGGTAGAAAAGTGGATTTTCACCTGCAAAAAGAATAAATCAAGACCCACACTCACACAGCGTACCCTCACCCCACCCCCCAAAAAACAAACCAAGATGGATCAAATACCTAAATATAAATCACACAATTAAGGTAATTTATTTTAAAAAGAAACCACATCAATGGAAAAATAGGGACAAACTTTATGCCTTATATTAGGATCCTTAAGTTTGTCCCTACACACTACAGAACATACTGAAATGTAACCAGAAG